AGTTCAGGGCGTTACCGAGGTCACCCCGGGGTCAGTCAAGTCCACCCTTGACTAGGTACACCACAATTTGACACGAAAAACAGATTTTCTTGTTAACGAGGGAAAATTTGGATGAGCAATGCCGACGTCTATCGTAAAATTACTTTTCTTGATCATTTTTTTTTTATTGCTTAGATGGGTGGACGAACTTACAGCCCACCTGTGTTAAGTGGTTACTGGAGACCATAGACATCTACAACGTAAATGCGCCACCCACCTTGAGATAACGTGAACAAGTCAATCGTGAACATTTGTTGAGTACATATTTCATTAGAAAAATTGGTACCCGCCTGAGATTCGAACACCGGTGCATCGCTCAACAGGAATGCACCGGACGTCTTATCCTTTAGGCCACGACGCGGCGACGAATGTAACTGTTGATACCTCTAATACCCGACGTTGGCAAAGTTGTACTTAAATAATAATATGTATAAATAACAAAACCCAGAAAAAAAAGGATGCGTGTACTTATGTACGCACGTAAGATTATTATTTTTAGTATTTATTAATAAATATTTAACGTTAATAATTTAATAATATTTACTATGAATTATATTAAATAATAATTTTGTCATTTATATTACTAAAAAATGAATGCTAATAACACTTTTTTTACGAGTGTACATGCGCGAAAGTTCACCTGCGGCTATATTCAGACTCGCCAAGTTACGTTGCGTCGGTCGTGTTGTAATGAGCGATTTAGTGGGCAACTTCATTTCTGTTAATTTTGTGTCACGGTGCGCGCGCATCGTAAAATTTCACTCTCATCAATTTTTCATAACGCGCCTTAAGAAGTATAACTTCAAAACAAAGAAAGCCCAGATTCCGTGAAACGTCAAAAGGCTTCTGATAAAAGCGGAAAGTAATCGATTGATTTCATTATTAAAATCAACAAAAACTCTTAATTCATGGTTACATTAACATTATTCGCCTGAAGTGACACATTTTTCGCTCGCGTTTCTGAGGAGTGGCTGTCAGTTCAGTATTAACATAATTTAGTATTGTATTTACGTTATAATGTAATTTAAAATAAGTATATTTGCGTGAGCTTATTATTTTGATTGTGGAAAGCGAGTCAGTATATCATACAAAATTTTAACAATGAAGAAAAACGGATTTCAACCAAAAGAAAACATGACGTATCATCAATACAATCGGAGTCAATAAAATATGCATTATGAAGGACAACTCCAAAATCACAGCTCAGGTTTTGATAAAGTTTTAATGGGACCACACCGGAAGCGTCAGCTTTCAGATATTAAAAGATAATCATCAAAATCGGTTCACCTAGAAAAAAGTTCTGAGGTAACAAACACGTCAATGTAGTCTTTTATAGACTAAAAGAGACTGTTTAATTTTATAAACTGATAGAATACATGTCATCAAAGTATAAAACTCACTTTCTTAAAAAAAATTGTTAAGCTACTTCAATTCTAAAGGTGCGATGGTATAATGGTCTTGTTTTAACATCTATTTACTATCGATAGAGCCTCGTTCTCTTTCTCACACTATCTCTATTTCGCTCGCTCGCACCCTAATCTAACCCTAAGCGATGACGGAATTACTCATATGTTACATTCGCAGATTGAAAGTTAAAATTGACGCCTTCAGCTCTAGCATTAGGAGCAGGCTTAGGGACCCCGGTAACCGTACTCGTCGAACTCGACAAAGAGGTCGACCTGCAACCTAACCCATGCATCAGCCCGCTGAGTTTCTGGCCGGATCTTCTCAGCGGGATCGCGATTCCGATCCGGTATTATATTCATTCGCGAAGCAGTTGCTCTTGAGTTGTTAGGTTTCCTTCGGAGGCCCTCGGGCAGTTCTTCGCAAATCCCACCCCTCCTGGTTGAGCTTTTGCTCGCCCACCTGTCCTGGTGAAACTGGAACGGCTCGTGGACTTCAGCAATACAGATGGCAGCCCTATGCCGCTGTCTGGTTTTGGGTGCTCTCCGCAAACCTCGTATGAAGAAAGACGTGTAAATCGTAGTTATGGCAATTAAAAAATATATATTTCGATCGAAAATATATCTCAGATTTTGAATTGTCAATACATATAAGAGTGATAAAGTAAAATTCGCGGAACACATCAAGATTGCAAGCGAGATTACTATGCGCCTTTCATGAGTTTGCCAATTGGATTATAAATTGTAATGCGTTTAGGTACATTGCAAACGTGACGTAGTGAGTACAGTCAACAAGACAGGCACCAAAAAATTGTGTTAACAATAGACCTGTTTAAGTAGGTCTGTATGCAAGCATTTTTTCAAATTCAATTATTTAAAGCTGAGTGGATGTAAACAAGCATGCAAGGTAATTGACCAGTGTTGTACCAATGCAATGAGACTTCTACTTAATAGAGTAAGTAACGGTTTTTCCTATGTCTATGGGTTGCCTCAGGCTTTACCATGTGCGGTATGGCACTAAAAACATCCCTGGGCCCGTGGTCTACTCCCAACATCTGCAGATCGTTAAGTCCCACATACCTCGCATACCCTTAGGCGCGGAGACCCCAGGAGGTTCGGCATTTGTCCGACAAAAAAGGCTTTTTTACTATATTAAAATATGAATTGTTTTATGGTAATAGGTACTTCGAATTGACATAAAACCTTCATGTTTTGAGATTTTTGAATGAAACTTTTTTCAAATGGTACCTATGAGGTTCTTCTTTTACAAAATGTGCATGCAACATTCGATTATCGATTCGATATTCAGTTGTTTTTTTTGTTCTGTTTAGACAAGAAAGATGGATAATTAAAACAATCGAGTGATTTTTGAAAAAGAGTACCGACACGGAACTAACGCTGCAGAAACAGCTCGCAATATCAATGTTGCGTTTGGAGAGGGGACTGAACTGACTCAGAATGAACGCACCGTACGATTTTGGCTTTCGTGATGGAAATTTTGATTTAAAAAACGAACCACGTCGGCATTTTCATACTTTAATCCCTAATATTATATTGAATCAATCTAAATAAATATGAATAAAAGTAAGTATGTATAAATGCTTTGATACTATAAGAAATAACCAGTAACCAATATGAACCACATCACTAGCTTACTCTCATGCTTGTTTTCTTCGAAGATAGTTTTAGCTATATGCTTTGTCACGAAAAAGTTTTGTGATATTTGTACGGATGTACCTAGCAAGTGGACCGTGCGGTCTAAATTTCAATTTTTTTTCGGGATCACCATATCAATTTTGTTGTAAATATATCAAAATACAGATGCTACTAGTGACATCTCCTGATACTTAGTTATAATAACTAATCTGTTTCATTTCATTCGATTTATTAAAGTTCGGTCATTCGCTTCCCGTCACAGTTTGAATCACGTTGTTTTATTTCAAATTTTCCTTTTTACCAGACGATTTTTCAGTTTCCCCATTAATAGATCCTGTATACTGTTCTCAAATTACATGTTATTATGTTTAACAACAAACGGAATGATTAAACTTATACAGTTAGTGGTGGTAGGACCTCTTGTGAGTCCGCGCGGGTAGGTACCACCGCCCTGCCTAGTTCTGCCGTGAAGCAGTAATGCGTTTCGGTTTGAAGGGCGGCGTAGCCGTTGTGACTATACTGAGATCTTAGAACTTATATCTCAAGGTGGGTGGCGCATTTACATTGTAGATGTCCATGAGCTCCAGTAACCACTTAACACCGGGTGGGCTGTGAGCTCGTCCACCCATCTAAGCAATAAAATAAAAAAGTTAAATTTTATATTTAAAAACAAATTTAACTTCATTACATTTCATAGATTAAAGTTCAACAATTTTTTATCTACAACACCTACTTTATGGCTACCGAAGAGTGTATGCGAAGGATCCTGAGTTGTGTGGAGTATTTATTATTTTCTATAGATGTATCTGTCAGTTTAAAGCAAAAGTAGATAACGCGAAAATAATAAACACGTAATTTGAATCACAAATGGCGAATTTGTAAAGCAAGCGCGTCACAAGTATCCTCAGAGTGCGTAGACCTGTGCGTCTCTGATTTTAACTAATTTAAAACAGATGACTTCTTGTGATGTGATTCATCTTAATATGTCTTTCGCGGTATGTAAATAGCAAACAAAGGGAAATTATATATTTCATTTATTTTATATCATATTCGAATACCTTAAATGTATATTTAAATTTAAAAAAATCATAATCGCTCATTTATAATAACTTGTAGGAGTGTATGTACATAAGTTATCACCACAGCCGGTCTTGATTTCATACTTAAAGTTTATATAATTCATAAAAAACTTTTAAAAGTTTAAGAGATTCTGCATAGTTATTTATCTATTTACCATTCTTTATTGCTTGCTTGGTATATTTAAACGAATCAGAAAGATAATTATGTATCAGAAAGGATACATATTTACAAAAAATACTTTTGACACTAAACTTTGTTTTTATCACGTGTTATTCGGTGTTATTCGCTCACTCATTTATTTCATGGTCATTCAATGAAAACAGATGTTGAATGAAAAGTTAACTCGCCACCAATTTGTAAGCACTTAAAAGCGCTAAAAAACTATTTTAAGCAGTTATTTTTTAGAAAAGTGGCATACTTTACTGAACTCGTAACTGTAATGAAATAAAAGTAACTACTCACCGAAACTTCCCACACACCGCTTCTCTATGAGAGCAGATGGAATGAATCACAGGAATGAATTGTAGTGACAAAGGCGCGCTGAGTGAGATTGTTTTGATGATCTCTGAATAATTTCGTTCAGAAATTCCAACATAAAGTATTTTAAACTTGTTTTTTTTTTAAATACCCTATGATAGAAAGTCGCTTTGAGATTACGTTTCTTATTGACAATAAATGAAATTATCTTTTTCGAGTAAGATATTTTTTTGTGAGATGTATTTAAATAGTTTGGTCGAGGGGTATGTATAGGAGTCCATTTTCTACTTGTTGATCTCATTCGTTCATTACTGTCAAATTTATCATTTGACACTTCTGAATTGATTAACTAACCGTACTGTCAAAACTAGGATGGTTGATGTTTTTGGTAACGTTAAACTCACGTGTTTTTATTTTTAGAGAATATAATAAAATAATTGAAAATGAAAGTATTATCAGAAGATCGTACAAGAATATTATTCGAGAAGCTAACCAAATAGTGAGTATTTCTGAATATTCTTAGTAGAAATTTGGGCTACACAGCCACATTGTATTTCTAAAACAACATATTTCTAACCACAATTTATATTTATTTCTCGCATCGCTGGTCATGATTCCGATCTGATGGAAGATTCAGCAAAGCATTGTTCTTGCTGGGGCTAGTGTTGACATTTTTTTGGGTTGAGCTTGTGAGCTCACCCATCCATTCACATGTAGTTGAAATAGCCCAGTGGTCTACCAACGATTAGGTAGAGAATAAAAATAAAAAATATTAATAGTAATAAATATGGAGTATTTATTAGTTCTATATTTAATAAATAATAAATTACTTATTTATTATCAATTACCAAAATAAAGAGTACTTAAAGAGTACCTCGACTGGCTCAAAAATCACCTTACACTCTACTGAGTGTAGGTGATTAGGTAGGCTAGAGTTACCTCTACCTCCACCCTGGCTATTATGACGCAAAGCAGCTATGCGTTCCATCAGTATACTAAATAATTGGAACTCAAGTCTCAAGGTGGGTTGCAGATTCACATGTCTATGGGCTTACCACTGAAACCCTAGTGAGTTCTTGTTTACTCATCTATATATTAATACGTGAAGCAAAAACTTTGTATCCCTTTTTACGAAAATCGCGCGGACGGAGGAGTATGAAATTTCTCACACTTATAGAGAATATAGAGAAGAAAAGCACAAAGCTAATATTTTTTAAAAATAATGCATAAAACATACATTAAATCAATAAAGAAAACATTACACACACTACATACCATGTATTTGACGCACACACACATGCATACTATAGGTATTTATTGTCAAACTTTTGTTCTTGACGTCGTTGTCAAATTGAGAAGAGATTAAATATTGTTTGTCTTTGTTAGTATTTTTTATAGTGTACTCTTGGCGAAATTTGTGATTATAGAAGTATAAAATACAATCATAATAGTGTACAAATTTACAAAAAAAAAATCCAATTAATTATAGTCGAATTTCGACTACTGCGGGGCCTCTAGTTTAAGTAAATAGAAAAATAAAGACATATATAAAGCCACATGTCAAAGTTGACATTTTCTTTTATTACATTTATGTCATACTTTATCTTCACACCTTCGTACCTTAATATGTAAGAAACTTTTTCTTAATTATCTTTGTAGTTTACTGAATAGTCTAATTTGTTTGAGAGCACGTAGTATACTAGTTTCAACACACTACTGTATTGTTTTGAAACAGTTTGATTGAAAAATCCTCCATTTTTGACATGTTGCTGTGTATATAGGGTATATCGATAATACAACTTAACAATGAAAAAGGTGTCAAAATAATTCTTTGATTCTAATTTAAACATTTGATTTCAGCATTGGAGTAAATGTTAAGTTACTAATAGACAGACCTGATGGCACATATTGCTTCAGAGAGAAGAAAGACAGAGTGTATTACATATCAGAGAAACTACTGCATCTAGCACAGACAGTGAAGCCGGACAACTTAGTATCTGCGGGGACATGCTTCGGAAAGTTCACAAAGACAAATAAATTTAGGTTGCACATTACAGCTTTGACTTACATATCACCCTATGCGCCGTTCAAAGTGTGGGTGAAGCCGTCTGCGGAGCAGCAGTTCTTGTATGGACACCACATCATCAAAAGTGGTTAGTGTTATAAGTTTTCTTCTTAAGGGCTAGGATAACATAGATTAATAACACGCTCCTTGTGTACTTAGAAATAGTTTTAAAAATGCAGTGTATTAGTGAGGGTATTTGTCTCCTTTTAATAAAAGGATTGCTAAGTGCGTGTTGCATAAAGACAGACACACAATAAACTGATTTGTTACCGAACACATGTGCTTAAGTTCATTATTAAATAATAAAGTATATATCGATGCCTCCAATGAACACTACGCTAACTCCAAATTCGTAGATTTACAGGAGGAGCATTTAAACGAATAAAGTTGATAAAATCTTTATTATTGCAGATATATTTATGGTTTTCTAGCTGATTTACTCTTGCTTCGAACTCCATCAATAATGATTAATTGTAATACTTTTAACATAGTGAAGCGATTTGCGTGAAAAACGAAAATTTAAAAATTTTGAGTTAGAGTAGTGTTCATTGGAGGCATCGATATTTTACATAACATAATAACTAAATTTTTTGTAGTAAAAAATATAAGAAAAAATGGACAATCAATTGAAACTTTTTTAGGACTAGGCTGGTTGAGATTACTTTATTTCATGCTAAACAACACAATAGGCATTTTCCTTGAAAGAGATAGCATCAATATAAAATATTGCTATTACTAAATCTTACATTGAGGAAATGGATAACTCATCCATCAACAAACTAAGCAAACTAAAAATCTGGGTGAGTGGGGTTATTCCCGATAGGAGCTAAGTGGTTACCAAAGTTCATAGACATAGGCTACGATCTTCAAACTGGAACATATAACTGTAGGCAGTCTGGTGATACCTATCTTTGCTAGTTTATAATATGCTGTACCACCAGTAAATTAAGGTTTGCAATTGCTGTCATTTTATAATATTCAGAAAACCCTACTGCCCTCCCATTCTCTTGTGTAGCCCTTAGTAAATTATGATTCGTAGCAAGAGATCAGAGGTGAGATGGCAGATAACACATATTAATAAACTATTATTGGATTTATATGACATCATCATTTCTCTGAGAGAATAATGTTGGAAATGTTTGATATGATTAAAGATTGAATATATGAGAAGATTGAAGATTGAATATATACACAAAGTTGTATAATAACACTGCGTTGTTATCAGTATCCATATTCTTCAATCAACAAGTCAGTATAAAGGATAATGTTTTATTTCCAGGCTTAGGCAGGATAACAGAGAATACACCGAAACATCAAGGTGTGGTGGTATTAACGATGTCGGATATCCCGATTGGCTTTGGCGTAGCTTCAAGAACGACGGCAGAGTGTCGACACGCTGATCCTTTGGCGACGATTGTCTTCCACCAGGCTGACGTAGGAGAATATATACGCTCTGAGGATACGCTTACGTAGTAAATAATGAAAAGGAATCGGGTTCTTGTTTTATTTACAACAAAAAATGTGACATATGTTTTGTCAGTTAGTTTTATTTATTATAAAGAATATTTCAACCCAGTCATGCTCAAATCTATTTCTAACTAGCTGACCCGGCAGACTTCGTAATGCCTCAATCGAGAAATAAAAGACCTAAACTTTTGTATAAAATAAACTTAAAACAAACAAAAGGAATCCGTCCGACGGGGGACACGAGAGGGAAAACAAAATTGTTATTTTTATTTAATTTCGAGCATTTTCATATTTATCTACCTTTTAAACCTTCCCTGGACTTCCACAAATAATTCTCTCGAGTTTTAGCGAGACTAACGAACAGCAATTCATTTTTAAATATTTTATAGATAGATTAGTGTGAAAAAGACCGATTGATATTAATCACTCGCCATATATCGTTGTTAAGTGTTATACGACAATCTCTTGGGGTATAATTTAAAAAAACCCCGGTATGTCTACGTGTCGATAGTATTCCTGATATAAAGTAACTGCATGTCTGAAGTCTTATGTATTTATGAAATCGACTCCTATATATTGTCATACTTTATCTTAAAATCCACAGTGGATGCCTAAAACAACGTATATGGCGCCACTGCCAAATTTTCAAGTTTTTAACTTGCGCTGATATTGCATTTTCCTTGTGTCCTCGGTGTTTTTATGATATTTCTTGTTGAATAATACGTAGAAACAGTTGAAGAGGATTATATTTTTTACCAAACTGCCACCTTTTATTTTGCTGATGAACTAATTTTTATGATTGGAAGTTTATAACCTTAGTTACGCAATTGCAACCGTTCATATTTCACGCTTTTGTCGTTCGAAACTAGGTGGCGCGCAAATCAAATCTTTATTGCATGTAAATCTATATCTATATATTAATTAATACGTGAAACAAAAACTTTGTATCCCTTTTTACGAAAATTGCGCGGACGGAGGAGTATGAAATTTTCCACACTTATAGAGAATATAGAGAAGAAGTGCACAATGCTAATATTTTTTTTAAAATAATGCATAAAAGATACATTAAATCAATAAAGAAAACATTACACACACTACATACATACCATGTATTTGACGCACACACGCATGCATACTATTTATTGTCAAACTTTTGTTCTTGACGTCTGTTGTCAAATTGAGATGAAATATTGTTTGTCTTTGTTAATATTTTTTATAGTGTAGTCTTGGCGAAATTTGTGACTATAGAAGTGTACAAACTTACAATTCCAATTAATTATAGTCGAATTTCGACTACTGCGGGACCTCTAGTTATTTTAAATTCTCGAACTTATGTCTTAAAACTATATACGTACTTTCTCGAATTTAATGAAAGAATTTTTTTTATTTAACCCCTATAAGTTTTTATATCCTAAGTTTTAGTTAAAATTACCAATGAATTGACACACGTTAAGTGTTCACGATATCATTGTTGCAAAATGACATAAATCAATTCTATCTACTTATCTCGATTGAAAAATCGGTATCTTTCAGTCCACAGATGTACACTGTTGCACATAGGCCTCGCCACAATCATCGTTCTTGGGCTGTCCGCGCCCAGCGGTTTCTGGTGAACTTCAATAGGTCCTTGGTCTACTTTGTAACCTTGGTAACTTATCACCCAAGGGGCCATCTGTTCTACGAGGAATATGCCCTGTCCACTCCCACTTTAACATTGTAGAATGCTTGACGACGAAGGAAAGATCTTCCACCGAGCGGATGATATTTGCTCGGTAGACCGACAGTCCAAATGTTGTTCGAAACTTGTATATATGCAAGCTTATCTTGAAAATGTCGTAAGCGAGAGTCAGGCATCTGTTTTTTTTTGGTGTCATACATGGGTGGACAGCTGAGCTCACAGCTCACCTGGTGTCAAGTGGTTACTGCAGCCCATAGAATATCTTGCGTTGCTACTCGCCAAAATATTTAAAGATAAAAAAGTAATTAGAAAACCCGTATTATAATGAAGGCCATAAACATTGTGAATTACGCCAGTTAGCGTTTTCAAAATTCACGTTTTAAAAGCGTTTTCCGCCATTGGGGTGAGTCGTTACGACATTTTGAGAGACAGCAAAAACGACCCTACATTAAATCTTCACGAGAAGCACAGAGACGAAACGGGCGAAAAAAATATTGTAGATTTATTAATATCGGCGTTAGTTCGACGATCGAAATCCCACCACGGCCTTAATTAAGATTTTTAACCGATTTTTTTTTATTGCCTTTGTAGACAGACGAGCATACGGCCCACATGATGGTAAGTGGTCACCGTCGCTCATGGACGTCAGCAATGCCAGGGGCAGAGCCAAGCCGCTGCCTACCATGCGATTTCAACATAGGAGATTCGTGGTTCGTCAATTCGACTACATATTTTGTTTAGGTGAACCGATTTTGATGACTTTTAAGCGCTTGTTCTTCTCATGTGGCCCTATTAAATTAAAAATAAAAATGATAATGATCCGAATAATAGTTTATAAATAATAGTCCTTAATAATGCATGTTTAGTACATTTCGACTTCATTTTTGTTATTATCATTTTATTTTGTGTACTATTTATAAAAAAATATAAATATATCGACCATTGACTGACAAAAACTTATATGTTTTAAAAAATCGAAAATTTGTAAATAGAGAGGAGAAAAATTGTCGCGATGGCACTTTCATTATCACTTAAAGTCATTGCTTACTATCATAAGCTAGCATTTTCCCTTGTGTTACGAGTGTCGGGCACATTTAAGAGATACACGACGTGCATTCTCATCATCTTAGTTTAAGAATTACAATGGAAGATTCCGACACAATAATACAAAATTATATAGACTAGTGGTCCCGCAGTAGTCGAAACTAATATATAATTAATTGAAATTGTAAGCTTGTACACTATTATGATTCTATTTTCAAAGACTATTCTATTTCTATTCTATTCTATTTCTTAAATCACAAATTTCGCCAAGACTACACTATAGAAAAATATTAATAAAGACAAACAATATCTAATCTATTCTCAATTTGACCACAGACGTCAAGAACAAAAGTTTGACAATAAATACATAGTATGCATGCGTGTGTGCGTCAAATACACGGTAGTGTGTGTAATATTTTCTTTATTGATTTAATGTATCTTTTATGCATTATTTAAAAAAAATATTAGCAATGTGCACTTCTTCTCTATATTCTCTATAAGTGTGGAAATTTTCATACCCCTCCGTCTGCGCAATTTTCGTAAAAAGGGATACAAAGTTTTTGCTTCACTTATTAATATATAGATATCACATTGCGTATCTTACAATTCTGATTTGAATTGCCAAAGTATAGAGACGAGTTACTATTGCAATTTATATAACAATACAAATATCTGAAGAAAAGTAAAACGCACGAAAATGATAATTAAGGATAACTCAAAAGCTACTCGTCGGATAATGATGAAATTGGAATACAGGGAAGTATCAGCTTTCAAATAATACAAGGATAGTCAATATAAGTTCATCATAAATAAACAAGTTCTGAGGTAACACACGTAAAAAAAGTGCCATCGAATTGAGAACTTTCTCTTATATTTGAAGTTGGTTAAAAAGCCGAAGTCTCAATTGCACATGCCTATCGTAGCTATTTAATTAGATTAGGACAGCAGTTATACAATCGAATTATAATTTCGACCGCCTGTTTCAAGGTTAAGGAAGCTGAATACCAAATAACTTTGCCTAAGATACTTATATCGAGAATCGAAACTCTTAGCAGTGGCTAGGGTTCTTTACTGACAAGGTCAGACAATATCACGGCAGTACACGCTAAAAACACAGAGCAGAGAGCATTTAAAAAAAAATCGAAAAAAAAAACGATCTGTCAATTCCTTATCTGTCCAGACAAGTGTATTATCTATGGTCCAGGCCAAATTAATTCTTATTTTAATAACGTGCACCTATTTCTTTTTACAAAAGCTATTCTTTTTAACAACAGAGTTTGGGCGGGTTTTCTGTGTCCATTTTAGCATTTTAAATACATATATTATATTAAGATGTTCATTGAAAGGGTCAAACGAGCAAGCGGTCTAAAGGCATTACATATGAACCAGGCTGATAGGACGCCATATTGGTATTCAAACAATTTTTTTGTTTTTTATTGCTTAGATGGTTGGACGAGCTCACAGCCCACCTGGTGTTAAGTGGTTACTGGAGCCCATAGACATCCACAACGTAAATGCACCACCCTCCTTGAGATATAAGTTCTAAGGTCTCAAGTATAGTTACAACGGCTGCCCCACCCTTCAAATCGAAACGCATTACTGCTTCACTGCAGAAATTGGCAGGGTGGTGGTACCCACCCGCGCGGACTCACAAGACGTCCTACCACCAGTAATTACGCAAATTTCAATTTTGCAGGTTTCATTTTTACTACACGATGTTATTCCTTCACCGTGGAAGTCAATCGTGAACATTTGTTGAGTACGTATTTCATTAGAAAAATTGGTACCCGCCTGCGGGATTCGAACACCGGTGCATCGCAACAACGAATACACCGGACGTCTTATCCTTTAGGCCACGACGACTTAAAAAAATATCTTTTGTACCAGCCCGCCATTTCTGCTAAGTTATGGTGATGCACCATCACAAACACGATGATAAATCCGTAGTCGGTTCGGTAGAGAGTGTGCATAAAATATCGGTCTATAAATAAGACAATCAGCTTGTATTATAGATTCACTTAATTCAACTGTGCCTAGTTGCGGAAAACGAAACAGAGGAAAGCTTTTAAGGCTTACAGGTGATTTTGTTTGCGAACCCCTTCGGTAAGGTTTCCCTTCTAATTAAATATTTAAACTATGACCCTTTGAATGTCTCGGTACTTAAGTCGAAATTGAAATGAGGAGAATAATAAGCTTTCGTTATTGAATACCGGAATGTGTTTGTTTTAGAATACATGGAATGTATTTTTTTGGTATTGTTTTTTTAGTGGATCATTTTTTTTATATTTCTTTTTTTTTCTCAGAATTGTTTTTTTACTGTTGATTATTAA